ATCTGCTGAAAAGAGAATTGGTCCTGTTTCCGCCAAACCAGCATACTAGGGAAGGGAGGAGAGCAATAGATGGTTTGAGTCGCATTTTAGGGAGAACCTATAGTGCTCCTGCAAACAACGGACGTGCATACATATATATACACAAAAACCCACACAGAGAGAGAAATAACTGAGTATTTCCCGCTGAAGGGCTGAGGGAAGGCTCTCCACCTTGAAGAGCTCGTCCCCGGCTGGCAGCAAGAGCAGGGCCCGGAGGGCTGCCAGGAGCTTGCCCTTTCCCCAGGGGACGGAGGGACAAACGCGGCTGGGTCTCAGCCAGGGAGAAGGCGGATGCTGTGTGCCCCAGGAATGGGTGTCACTGCGGGTTAGGGAGCCGCACGGCTACCCCACGGCAGGGCGGCGAAAGGAGTGGGCCTTTTCTCCAGTGTAAAACGCTGTTTGGATCAAAACGCACTGAGAGAGAGTGGGGTTTTACCTTTTCTGGTAAAACTAGTGGAATGGCTATCTGAAAAGCCATTTCAAGCAGAAAAAAGTGGAAGGGGAGACATTTAAATTCAGCAAACTTCTAAGACAAGAGGTCTAATACATCTTGGAGACATTTACTTACTTTTCCTGACATTTGTTTTCCACCAAACCAAGAAGAATTTATAAAATATTTTAGTCCTGTCTGCATTCATGCCCCAAACCCAACTTTTTACTTTCAACTCCAAGCCAGTTGTTATCACTGATAGAGTCAGGCTGAAATCATTGGAGAAAATCCCGCTGACTTCAATGAAACCAAAATTTACCCACTGACTCCAAAAACAAACAAAAAAACCCACCAAGCTTCCCAGCTGGGACACCACTCTGTATGTCAGAACATATTCAGGAAATTCAGAATATTCAGAAATTCATATTCAGAAATAGTGATTTGTGCCCATCTCCTGCATGCTGACAGCATATAAAAGGAACCAACCTGTTGTGAGCTCCTGTGTTGAGCCTACAAAGGTTACAGAACTGAAACAGCCTGCAGCCACCTTTTTGCCCAAGCTATTGAGTTTTACACTTTTGGCTTCAGCAGTCCCAGGTCTGGCCACTTTTTCAGTCCCCTCCGGGATCCCAAAAATGACCACCGATGCTCTGAGGGTGATGATGCTCCATCCCCTGCAGCTCCCTTGCTGAGAGACAGCGGATACTGCACGTCTGCACGGTCTCGAAGAACAACTGGAACAAGACCATGTGAAACAAATCCATCGGGGGATATTAAATTCAAGGACAGCCCTGTCAGCTCAGGAAGTCCTTGAGATACTAATTGCTGGAGCTGGGAAAGTAGACTGGGGAAGTATCACAGGGTGCTTGCCGCCTTCTGGTGCTTTTATCTAAGCATCTTCTGTTGGCTCTGTCAGAGGCTGAATCTAGGGCTTGCTGGATTTTGGTCTGAGCCATCACAGCCATTCCTATGATCCTACACTGCCCAAATTTTCCTTAGCATTTTCCCAAAGTTTTCTCCTTTTTTTTTTTTTTATTTCACAATAGCAATGAGTTGGGGTTTTTTTCTGACTGCTGATGCTGTTTGGGGAATGCTCTCTCCCTCGAGCATAGTAATCTGCATTAGTTACGCAATATACTGTTAACATGTCTTTTGGCAAGCTTTCATTTCACCCAAATTCATATCAGACTCCTCCAGAACATTCAATGATTTTTCTTTTCTTAGGCAAGAAAACCACCCAAGCCTCCTTTCTGAACAGCTTCTTGATAGACTGGCCTTGACTATTCAAGTGGCTCCTGGACTGACATGAAGCTTAGCTTGCATGAAGTAACGCTGTCCTGGTTTTATTAATTTATTTTCTTTCCTCCCATCAGTAAACGATTAGTTTACAAACCCAGCTCTGCAGGGTTTATTGGAATGATGCAGGAGGGTGGGAATATGGCTGTGGGATGCAAAGGAATTTCCACAACTTTCTCGGCAACTTGGCTGATAAAGCCAGCAATAAAAGCAGGCATGTCATTCTTCAGAGTGAAGGCATTTAAAGGAAGGAAGTATCACATCAGTGCAGAAAGGCAGCCGAGGATACTATTTAGAAGCTATCTATCAAAGCAAATCATTTAATGGTGGGAAAGCAAAGGCACCTCACGCATCAGAAGCAGGAAGGCAGGACAGTTGTTTTATGCACTTGGTATAATCAAAGATAGAAGCGGCTTGGCTGCAACCCGCAAAACAACCCTGCAGTGATTGAACCAAGCAACTTTACTTGCCAGCAGCTCAGTCACGGGAGGCAAATCCATCCCTGTGCAGGAGACACTGCCACAAGCCACGTGTCTATTGGAATTTCCCCCAAAACCCTCTCCCTAAAGGCCCATTTTACAGGAGTTTTGTGGCAGGGTTGGCTCCTGTCATGGGATGTGCATAGGACACATTGTGCAAGGGGGAAAAAAAAAAAAAAGACTCAAACTGAAGCACATGTAGGATTACATGATCAAAGTGCTTGGAGGGGGGGCGGATTTTAGAGTATCAGCTACCAGAAGTAACATCAATATCGTCGACTTACGGAAAACTGGCACGGAGAGAATGAAACCCCAAAGGGACCTGGGAATTCTCTAATGTCTGGGAAATCTGCTGCAGGAAAGTGGAAAGTATTTGTGAAAGAAATTAGAGAAGCTGCAACTGAAATTCCTCTGGTCATGGCTCAAATGGAAGAAAGAAATGCATTGCCAATATTGTGTAAAGCAGCATCGAGAGGGTAGGATGGCAAGATAAAATTTAGAGTCGGATAATTGCAACACCACATAAATGCTGTCAATTAGGAGAAAGCCTTAAAGAAGCTGGGCTAGTGGGCAAGATGAGTGTTTGGGGTGCTCTCAAAGCAAAATTGGAGAAAATATGAGACTTTGGGTGCTGACTGTTATTGGTGTGCCCTCATAGTAAAACGGAGTGCAGGTATTTTTTTATGTGACTCAAAAATGAAGATGGAAGTGAAATGAATGTGAAGCTCTCGCTGATGCCAGGACTTCGCTAAAGTTACTTAAAAGCATGGGCCTTTCAGAAGGAGACCGTGGGTGCCTCTGCTTCCCAGAGCTCAGCTGGGGCCAAATTCATGGGGCTCATTTCTCAAAAAAGAAAACAAACAGCTCTGCCTGAAAACCAACCATCTGGAGCGGGGCTTCAAAACATCAGAGTGGCCAAAATCACTGGGGCTTGTGAAAGTCTTCAGTAAAGGAACGTGGGGAGAATAACAGCACAAAGCAGGACAAAGGCTAGTGAGCATACTAACAAAAACTGGAAGTCCCTATGAGTTCAGCATGCCATCGGCTTATTTTAGGGAGGGAGATAAGTGGAGAAAGGGAAGGTGCAATGAGCTGGACAGTTTTTCCTGCTTACGGTTGTATTTTCTCTTTAGAAAGGGTGGCTGCTGTCTCTGATGGATTCTGGCTCCAAGACACACACAAAGTAGAGGAAATCTATTTTTAGTCTCCATGAGACAAAAGTACCAGTAAAAAAAAAAAAAAAAGACAATTGCTTCCTGTTTAGGGCTGCTGCTGTGAGGAGAGATCCTGCCAAGATGCTGAGGCCGGGGCAGGACCTTGGCGCAGGTTCCAGCTCTTGGGGGCTGCCCCTGGGAGAGTGGGGAGGGTCTGTCTGGACCTGTGCTGTGAGATGGAGTCCTCTGGGGATGCGAGACAAGAAAAGATGGTCTCAGCTCCCAAGAGCCCCCACACTGGGCCAGGAGGTCCATGCCCGGGATTCCCAAGGGAGGACAAGAGACTTGAGCTTCTGCTTCTTTGGGATTCTTGGTGCCTACAGGCTTTAGGCTGAGCTCAACTCTGCTTAGGTTACAAGATTCAAGAGTTTCTAAGTGACATGTGAGTTTAAGGAGACAATGTGCAAAGTGACTTTCACACTAAACCTCAGATTGATTAAAGACTTATCCCTCTGAAAATTCAAATACTTGGTAAAATAGGTCTGATTTACAGCAAGAGAGCAGGTATCATGGCAGTCAGGGTGGCTGACTTAAGGACCGATTCATTTCTTTATCTTCAAAGTGCTTTGGTGCTTCCACCAACAAACTACATGCAAGAAGTTAAATTAGGAACCAATCCATACTCACCAAAATGAAAACCACAGCATTTTCTTCAATTAGCTAGTCGAAAGTACTTCCTTGTTTTAAGAACCCCAGCACTGACATTTTAGGTGACATTTAAAATTTTTCAAAAGCAAGAAAATTATCATTAGAAATCAGGTTAAAATGCAAGTTTTTCTATTTGGGAACAGAACATACTGCAACGCTTTATGGGATAGTTTGTGTTTCTGCTGCTGCACCATTAAAAATACATTATGGATGTCAACAGCTAATTACTCTGACAAGTAGCTTTACTTCCCCTTGTGCTTTTTCCACATCAGACAGATTCAAAAGGAGGAAGACACGACAGTTTTTTCCCTAAAATCACAGACTGAAAGGGTAGGAATGAACCCCCGTGGGTGGATTTACTCTTAGTCGCATACAGGATATTTTCAGCAACTTTCTGGCACACCGTGAAAGAGCAGTGGAAAGAGAAAAACCAAAGGGAAAAAAAAAAATCTTGGTAAACCACGTAACACACAAAGTCATTGTTTAATTTCTACTTAGGGCTTTGATCAGGAAGTGAAAATCTAATCATGTGTTTTCAAAACATCCTAGCAAAACTGGGAATGCATCCTAGCAAAACTGGGAATACCTTCTGCAACAGCTGCCGTGAGTTCAGCTGAGCCCAGCCTAAATGTAACCCACCCGCCGCACAGCACTGGGAAAGGTCTTGCGGATCCCCAAGCACTTCACCTCGTCGATGAAGAGTGAGTTGACTTTGACGGCCACGTAATGCTCCAAGACCGACTTGGCATGAACCAGCATTTGCAGCATGCTGTTGGTGTCTCTCAGCTGCTCCTGAAGGCTCTGGATTGTCTCATCGGTTTCATGGACCCCATCGACAAGGCTGAAAAACAGCAAGAAACCCCTGGTAACAGTCCCATCACGGGGGTGGTTTCTAGCAGGGTGTTGCTGGTGGGCCCCTTGGGCACAGGATTTCCCCCTTCGGTGTGCTCAGAATAACTCAGACCCCCCATTTCTGGCAGATGCATGGGAATGCTGAGGGCAGAGCACCTCCGGACCTCAGCAAGGAGGCATGGTGAAGTTTGCTCTAAGTCTTTGGCAATGCACAGCCACGTCTCCGGGAGCAGCTCGTGGCACCAAGAAGAGGGATGAGCAGCTGTGGTTTCCTGTTCCTGCTTGGTTTTGCAGGTTTGTTGGTTCACCCTCCTGGATTTCCCTGTGCAGGCATCCTCCCCACACCCACGGAAAGGCTAAAAGTGAATGTGAAACAAGTGGAGGATGGAAAAAACAATGGTGTGCGAGAGGCTAAACAGGCTCTGAGGCTGGGTTTAAATGGCCTTAAAAAGGCTTCACATGGAGTCATGCCCAGAGGGCTCCCAGGAGGAGGTGTGAGGTTTGGGGTGTCACGGGGTGGGGGGGTTGGGGGTGTGCTGGGCACTCAGGGCAGCCTGCTTCTCCACAGCCCCTTGGGATGCAATCTCAAAGAGCTTACTATGTCCTTGAAAGGATTTCCAGTGTCCCCAGGGGAGGGGAGGACAGCCCTTACTGCCTCACCATATGGTGCACCCTTCCTGGCAGTTACCCAAAAGGAAGGAGCTGAGTGCTCTCAGTGCAAGCCTGTTGGAGAGTAAAGGGTTTATCCTTCAAAACCGAGCACATCCAACCGCAGGGAAGCAGGCAGAAGAGAAGATGAAGTTTACCCAAGTGGGAAAAATCCAGCCCCCCATGGGGTGGCATCAGGCCGTACCCGGCCATAGTGTACAGCCTCCTTCATGGGTGCAGAGCTCTCCCGGCACCCAAAGGCTGAGATACCTGCTCATTGCTTTTGATTGTATCAGTGCACTTATAGAAGGACTATTTAGAAAAAAGAAACATGATTAATTTTGTCATCTAGTGATGCTCCTCAGTGCTACCACCAGTGACTCCTCAAGGACCCTGCCAGCCCTGCACTCCTGCCTTACCGGAGCTGGGCAGTGTCCCGGCACAGCTCTATGTCTGGTCTCCACGTGCGCTTATCCAGCCGGGTCTGAGCCACTTTTAACGGAGGCTGTATGTGCCTAATGGCTGTTTGGATCTCTTCTATGTTCGCCTTGGTCTGGGAGATTTCCTGCAGTGTCTGGCGTGAAAAAGAAACACATGCATAAATTAAAAAATATATTCTCAAGTGACCACGTAATTTCCCTTTTCTCCTGTCTGTCTGCAGAAAAAACCAAGTTCAATAAGCAGACCCTGGGCTCAGACCACTGTCACTCTGCCACATATCAAGGCACAGATCCAGCAGAGATTTCTCTTCGGGGAAAAGTCTCTCTTTGCTGTTGCTGTCACATCAGAGGAGGTTTTTGGAGCAGTGATGGATCTATTGAATTACCAGCTTCCCAAAATTACTGCTTGCAGGAACTGATCATCCATCAATAGCAACTAACAGAGGGTAAGTTTTTAATGGATTCTTATTTAAGGATGTGGCATTAGCCCGCAGTGCTGCAAGCCCAGTCTCTGCTCAGTTAATCAATACTGTCTCGAGCACTTTTCAGGAAGCTTTCCATGAGACCCACTGCTCCGAGCCAGGTGTCCATCACTGATCCCCACTTCCTCTGCTTGGCAAAGCAATGCAGGAAACCCAGGGATAGCCATGCAGCAAACACAGAGCACTGAGACTGAATGCATGTCCTTGGAGGAGAAGCGAGCCTGCAAAGCCCCCCGGCAGACAGCCCAGCAAAGACTTTCTGCAGGGCAGGCAGCTTTTCTGAAGTAACTACCAGGAGATGCAAGCAGCCTTTGTATTTTCTGCTGGAAATCCCTGTGCTGCCAAGGCTGTCAGCTAGGCTGCACTAGCAAAATACAGTGTCCCTTGAGATGGAAGTTACTGTGCCAACTCATCCTGCCCCAAGAAGAGTCTCCAATACTTTGTGTTTCAAACAGAGAATTATACTATAATCAGCTTCTTGCAGTGACCATTCCTTTTCTTGGACCAGGTCTGTGTGGAGGATTGTGTCACTGGGAAATGTCGGTGTCACACCGAAAGGGAGGGGTTCAGGCTACCTTGGCCAGGTGGATCTGAATCTTGTTCTTGGCATTGGCTGTCTCAGCGATGCAATTGGTGAAGGTGACGTTCACCCTGTTGAACTGACGCCACATCTCGTTGGCCACTGCCACCAGCAGATTTTCAATGTAGGCCCGCAGCTTGGCCGAGGCCACCCGTTCGCTCTGGGAGTGGAGGATGTTGTTGTCCGTGAACTTGGCCCACGACTCCGGCACCGAGATCCTAGGGTGAGGGGAGGGAAAGGAGAGGCCCCTGGTAAGCTCATGCTGCTGAAGCTGGCTGTGGGTAGGCATGGACCCTGCCAGGGAGCAGCATGGATTAAATGTAGATTAAATCTATGCTCTTAATTTGACCACATGAAAGTGAAACGTCTGGACACGATTTGTTCAGTAATACTTATCCAATGATGACATGTTCATGAAGACAACTGTGATATTTAGCAAAGCTCAGACAAACAAAAGATTCCTCCAGAAAGATGGAGATTTTAATCAGACCTCGTATTTACACATTCGAGGCATTTAAGTTCCAAGTGATTCCCAGCTTCACAACAGCGCGCAGATTGCAGTCAATTCATTTTGCTCATAACTTACCTCAGTTTCATACTAAACTGAACGAGCATTAGATAATACTCGATTCCCTGTTTGTGCATTCAGGATGAAGTTCACGCCTGTGCAGTAGTCCAGAACAAGGTCAACAAAAGACTTAAATACCACATAAGCTCCATTTAAAACATGCTGATCCTCGGCACATTTTACCCCCCTCTGAATTTTAGCATCAGTCCTTTGCCATTCATTTGCCTGTCTAAATATGTCTGAGCTCTACTGTGAATAATTAGTCAAACATTAGAAAAATTGAATCAATCCATGTCCCTCCATAAACTGCATGCATCTGTGTGAGAAGCAGATTTATTCCCTCAGCCCTTTGCCACTTAGGGCATATCTCTGCAAGTGCTGGCTTAGGTCACCATTCATCTGCTGAAGAGCCAAAGCCAAATTCCTGGCACCCAAAAGCAGCTGAGCTCTATCCCAGGACCATGCTCTCTATTTCTTTCTTCTGTGTCATTTCGGCTCCCTGCCAGGCCCTCTCCATGCAGGGGTGAACCCCCCAGACTTTACGTCAATGAAGAGCACTCAGGCAAGCACTGACACATCTTTGAAAATATGCATAAACTTAATGAGCTGTGCAGAGGTGCTGGACTGAATTCATTTGCAGGCTGATCTCTGAACCCTGGTATAATGTTTAATTAGGTGGGACTCGCTTTCGCCCACTGGATGTTCAGCATCCTGCTATCTGCATTTATGGTGAGCGGAGAGAAATGGCCCCTCCGACGTGGGTGTCTGCGGGCGGGACGGATGTGCCGTGCAGAGACACGTGCCTTTACAGTGGGCTGGGGAAAACCAGCTCCCTACCAGGGAGAGGCATGGGGATGGCTTCAGCACTCGCGTGCTGCCTGGTGTGCACTCACGTGGCATTGACCCGCTCCAGCCCTCGGTAGTAGCTGATGCCCTTGGAGGTGTTCCTCAGGTTGTGGCACTTGTCGATGTGGTAGGCTGCCTGCTTGTTGGCCAGGTCCCTCTCTAGCTCGTGCTGGGCCCTCCTGTTAGACCTTCAACACACAAACAACAGCCATTGGTGGGGATGTATGGGTGGAAGGGTTTCCTCCCCATCCCACTTCCCTGCAGCCCCCACCTAGGCAGCTCCGTGCTTCCCCAGGCATCACTGCCTGCTTCCCATGGAGCCTGCATGGGTTTTATGCCTGCAGGTTGTGGGTAGAGGTAGGGGTCTGCTGGGGGTTCACATTACAACTGCAAACACATATCATCCCTGCAGCAAGAGATAAGGAGCTCCTCCTTACGCAATCTGGGTTTTTGCCTTATCCAGGTGCTGCTGCATCCTCTCCTGGCAGGACCTGATGACGTCAGCTTCCTGGCCAAAGATAAAGCACAACCCCGTCAGTGTCTACACTCAGTCGTCCTGGTCACACTCATCCCCTCCGGCCTTTCCAACTTCGCACGTGGCAAGAACTTGCCTGCTTGTCTTTCTGCCCAAAGCAAAGGGGCAGGGAGTGGAGAAAGTAAGTGCCCCTCAGCCCCAGCACATGCTTGTGCAGCTGAGCCTGTGTGCAGTGACAGGGAAGGGACTGGTGGGTGCTCTGGCCAGGGCCATGGCCTCTGAATTCGCTTTCAGGGTGGGTTTCCAAGTGTTATTTCATCTTGACATCAATGTCAAGTGCTGGTTAGTTCTGCTATAGGGAGACAGGGACGGATCCTGACCTGATATGAACAGGCATAGTGGCTCCCTGGACCAGCAGTGCTACACATTCTCATCCCCAGTCAGCATCTGCCCTTATTGCTCCCAAAATGTTTTCCTCCCCACGAGAAATCCCATCCATGTGGGACAAAAGGAGATGCACTTTACTTTGGTGTAAATCCCCAGTCATGTGTTACTCTCTGCTCACTTGACTTTGGCACAAATTTATTGCATTTGTGAAGCCCCAGCTACTGGAGGCAGATGATTAGTGCTCCAAAACGAGTAATTTTTAAGCCCTCCTGTCTGCAGGACCCAGCTGAAAAGCACGGCCTAAATGCATCCCAAACACTTAAAATCCAAAACACCATTATGGAGATACCAGCTCTGATTATTTCTCTCAAATCTCATGACCTTTAAAATAATCTTTTAATTTTTTAGGGCCTGACTCATAAGAAAAAATCTTCTAACAGAGCAGTGGCTTCAGAGTCCCAGGGGCTGCAATTTCCTTCCCAATTTCACGATGCCTTTGCAGTGATTGTATTTCACTGTACCCTGTATTAGGATCCCATCTTCTGTGCCAAGTCTCATCGTGTTTGCATTTTATTCATAATTCAAAGCAGACTACATAAAGGCAGGCAGGAGTGCATGTTTTTATGATTTCTATAAAATACATTGCCTAAGCACACATAGCGGCAGTCCTACTGTGGCCACGCTGCTCTGAGCAAAGCAAACCTGGGGGTAGATGTAATATCTTTTATTAGACCAACTAATATAGTTGGGAAAACCAGACAAGCTGTCGGGCACACGCTGCCATCTCCATATCTGTGTATGCAGATGCGTGTAATATATATATAAATATAGAGATATATCATTTGTATGTGATATAGATACATATAGATCCTGGTCTGGCAGGGCTCTGAAAGGCAGGACAGTCTCACAAACTCCTTGAAGAAGGATGGAGGACCCCGATATCCTATACAAACACACATCTGGTTTTCAGCTATGCTTTCTTCTGTAAGGGCGAGTCTTACCCACACCACGTGGGCATGCTGCTGCATGGGGGAACAGTGTCCCTTGACCCAGCAGGTTTTGGGAGTTTGAAGAGTTTTAACACCTCACCAGCTCAGGAACAGGGCTGCAAAACCTGTTTAGGGTAGTTCAGGTAAAAATAACTTTAGCATATGGTCTGTGTTGCCAAACTTACTACAAAGAGCTGTTTCTCCACGTCGTCATGGACTAGGTCGATGCCCATCCTCTTCTCCCGGTGAAGCAAGCACTCCTGAGTGACCTGTTGGGGACATGCCATCACTGCTGGCTGCAAGGTTCCCTACAGGGATGGTGCCCATGTCAAGTCGTAAGATAAGAAATTATAGGTGGGCACAGAGATGATGACATGGGAAAAAAAGGGCCCAGGGCCGCTGGTTTAGCTGACAACGAGTATCTGAGCTGCAACATCAGCATTAAACCAACATAAGGGAGTACACGTGCCCCTGGTGCAACCACAGCTGAATTTAAGGACCTGTGTCAGGCCTGATGCTGACCTTGCCAGAGCCTCGTAGTAAGACATGGGCTTTTGTCTCCCAGGATTTTGGATATAACACTTATAATAATATTTGGTTAAGCAAATACTGTTCTGATGTGCTCAGCATGTGCTGATAGGGGATGCAACAGATGGCGAGGGATTTGTTTATTGCTAACTTAACTAATGGTCTCTTAGTAAAAACTTTCTAGATGTTATGGAGGAGCTGCAATGAAACTTAATTTGATGTTTGAATGGCTGCAGATGTTTCAGCAGTGGGTTCCAGCTTGCAGCACCCTGGTGCTTACCTGCAAAGTGGCCTCTGTCTCAGCCAAGGCCCTCTCCAGTTGTTTTTTCATGTCTGTGAGCCCGTTTGTCTCCCTGATGATCTCATTCAACTCACAGCAGAGCTCTGCCTTCCAAAATTCTATATCGTTGACACGTCTTCCCAGGTTTTTGGTGCTTTCTGCTTGGGCTTTCCTTGTCCGCCGGTATTTGCCCTTAATCATGCAGGAGGTATCAACTGTCAGATGCTCTGCGTTGTGCCAGCAAGTCTCCGACTTTTTGTAGTTGGTCAGGTTGGCCCTGTACCAGTCGTCAGGGGTGTAGCAGTTTGTTCTGGTGGAAACCGAAGGAAGTTTCCTGCTGGAGGTTGACCCCTGGGAGCTTTTGGAAAAGGGAGCCAAAGCTGGGTTGATGGCAGCTGCTTTATAGTAGGCTGTGGGCATCCAAGGGAGGCTGAAGCTCTGAGGCAAGGGGAAGTCAGGGAAACAGTTCTTATAGCTTGAAGCCATGGTGTTGATGGCAGGCAGGAACCTGGTAGGTGTCGATCTCGGATGGGCGTACATTGCCGTTAAGGGAGAGCTAGTCAGTCGTGAACCCTGCTATTCAGGTATGTGTCCTGCACAAAGGAGACAGAAGAAGACAACCTCGCTTAATAAGCTCCTGCACTCGCATTACTTCTTACAGCAACATATGCAACTTATAATATAAACAGCAATGCACACAGCACCGACTCATCGCCTGTACAGGCCTAAAACTCTTGAAAGCAAATCCATTCTGACAGCATCCCAAGCATTAGTAGATATAAGGATTTGACTTTGCTGTTAGTATCTGATGTCAGGTCTTGAAATGCAGAGAGAAACAAATCACGACTGCTAAGGAGAATGACAGATATGATGCCTTCATTTTCCTTAAATCTGTCAATCCAGTAAAGCTGTCATTGCTGATTCTCTGCTGTTCATTTGTTTCTTTTGGCTGGCATATCTGCTGATTTTATAGTAGTCCAGATACAATTTTCCCTTTAGAAGTTGCATTACCAGCCCCGATAGCTTTTGACACACAGCTGCTACCAACCCAGCAGGATTTGTGGGTGAGGGACTCCATCCTCATCATCTTTGTCTTGCACTAAATGCTCAAGTGAGGAATCTGCAGGTGAGCTGAGCTTTGCAGGACTATATCCAAATTTGAAACACACACCCCCACCCTATTTCAACCTAAAAAGAACAGCCATCTCTTGACTTGCAAAGGAAGAAAAATGTCTATGGCTCACCTGATGTAAAACAAATGCTCTTGGAAAGGAGATATCCCACAAAGTCTTTTCAGAGTAGCTCGTAAACACCAGCCTTGCAGTAAGCCTAGGAGAAATGGCCACACAGGAAGATTTTGCTACCAATAACTGCGTACAGCACTGTGGGTACTATTGCTCTTTTCAGATCGAGGTTATCCATCAATTATTATCAGAAATATAATGCAGAGGGCTGCCAAATGTACCTAACACACCTCATCTGAGGACGAACCCTCAGGAGGGTATATTGGGCTCGGTATGAAGTTCTTGTGTGGTTATGGGTGTCACCCGCCGGCAGAGTAAGTCCCTATGGCTGTTATAACCAGCCACCATGTTGCAGGGACGTGTCCTTCCCCTAACACCGTCCCATCCCCACTGCTCCCAGCCTGGCTCAGAGCCCCAGTGAAAGATTAGGGCACTGGTGTGCTACAACAAGATGGGAGAGGGGTTTGACATAAAGCATGTGCTAAATCCTGTTTGTTGCAGCATGAAATTGACTTTATTCCTTTAAAAATGGGACTTTTGCATAAAATAAACTCACTTTTATTCTAGAACAAAGCATCCACAGAAGTAATCACATGATTAGAGGTTTAATTGCTCCTCCTGGGCTACCCTGATCGCTTTGCATGTGTAGGCAAGCTGAGAGAGACTGGCTTATTTTTAAAATCAGAAAACTCTTGGGAAAGAGAATTTCTTTCATTTTAGTCACCTCTGCGACAAAGAATGCCTCTTTCTGCACAAGGGCAGGACCAAGGACTCAACACTTTCCTACTGGAAAGCTTGAAAGGCGATAGATGGGAGACACACAGAGACAGGCAGGCTCTGCCTGTGAGCTGCTCTTACTGTACGTGGATGGTAACTCTCTTTAATGCCAGATGCTTGCAGCCCGTTGACTCTCTTAAAGCCATGCCCGTTTACATCAGATGCTGAGCAATCAACACAACTCATTAAACTCCACATTTCCCAACATCTAGCTATGGGGACAGGTGAGCTAAGAGACTTTTTGCATTCACCGGTGGCTGTAATGAATTGATGCATTCAGATGAACAGTCTCTCAAAATGCAGCTATTACATAAATGAATGGCAAATACAGGAGAATAACAGGTCCTTTAGCTAGGGCAAACTGGAGAAAAATAGGGATGAGTCAGAGGGGAAAAGTGCACAGGCTGCAGCTGGGAAATCATTGAACTTTGAGGACTGTATTTTCAAGCCTTGCCCAATTTTGGCCATGCTGGCATGGGCTACCCCGGTACCTGACTTGAGGGCAGCATAGCTGTGGGCACCGAGTCTCACCCCAGGATCCAGCTTGGCCAAAGAGGCTGTGGGATAGACAGTGGGAAACTCACACCCTCAAATTTAGCAAAAAAAAAAACCTTTTGCAAACACAACCCTCTGAGCCAGTTTGGCAGAACTGAGGACAAAATGTCTGTGCTCAGGTCCAACAAAAACCACTGTGTGTGCCGGTTCCCACAAACCAGTCACTTCAGCCCCTTTGTCCCTGCTGGGGATAAACGACTGCACTTTCCCTAGCTCCACACCACTTATTTATACCTGAGAAACAGCATTCAGAGAGTGGGAGACAGCTTCCCTGGCTCCCACCCCTGCAAATAAATTATTCCCTTTCAGATACTGACAGACACATGCTTAAGAAAGGGAGGAAAAAACTTTGGGAATGGACTGAAGTTACTTTTCCCTGTATTTCCAGCTGAAATAAATGCCCCTGCATCCCCCTTGGGATAAGCCATCCCAGGGTGACACTTTCTACCACCCCTGAACACGGACACACGCTGGGAGCCACCGACCACCTGCCTTGGGTATTTGGATGATATAAGAGATATTGGATGGGGGATTAGGAGAAATACCTGCTTTTTTTAGTCCTTCCCTCCCAGTCCTCCTCACCCTTAGCTGCCGGGTGCACTCTAGGAATTTGGGGGTGCCTGGGGGGGCTGCTACTCACTACTGTGCTGTCAGGCTCGGTGGCAGGACTGCCAGGCACTGAGGCATGCTGGGTATCAACGGTAGCATAGGACCAGGGGAGCGTTGCCATGGGCACGGAATGCTCAATCGCTGTGTTCTGGCTGCCATGGCAACCTAATGCAGCCGTTGAGCAGCCCAGTGCTCTCGATGGGCAGCCCAGGGCCACATCTGGGCAAGGAAATACCCTTACATGGCATCCTAGTTCCTACCCTGGGCAACCTACCGCCCTTGCTGGGCAACTTTGTACAGCCCCTGGGCAACCATGTGCAGCTGTTGGGCAACTGCTGTGCAGCTGGAAAATGTTCTTGGTCATATGGTTTAGTTTTAGGTAGTCCTGCAAGGAGCAGGGAGTTGGACTGGGTGATCCTTGTGGGTCCCTTCCAACTTGAGATAGTCTATGATCGTACGAACTCAGTGCCTTCAGTGGGCAACCCAGTGCCACCCCTGGGCACCTCAGTGCTGACTGTGTGCAACCTAGTGCCTTTGCTGGGCAACTTGCTCCCATCCCTGGACAACCCCCAGTGCCATCAATGGGCAATCCAGTACAGCCCTTGGGCATCCTAATGGCATTTATGGACAAACCAGTGCCCTCACTGGGCAACTCGGTGCCAGCACTGGTGCTTCGTGGCAGGGCAGAAGCCTCGCTGGGGTGGGGGGGTGCACCAGGGTGGGGGTGCTGGCACTCCAGGTGAGGAGATGCACAGAGTCCCTAGGAGCCCCACCGTGGCACAGCCTCAGGCAGCACCAGGGCATCGTGCAGCAGTCACCCGGTGGCATTGGGAATGTTTCCTGGGAGAGGGTCCTTCCCCAGTTATTTCAGGTTTTAGCCTGAGAAGAGGCACTGAAACAGGAGGAGCCCGGTGGGGGTTAGCACAGCTGCTCTGGCTAACCCAAGGGGGTTTCTCTTCAACTTTCGAAAACACCCATCAGGTCTGCTGTGAGGACCTCTGTGTCCCACTTTATCCAGAGGAAACATTTTCATTTGCTTCATTTTACCGCTTTATATTAACTGTGAGCTATGTGGATGGCTCATCAAATACTCAGTCTTCTCATAGACTTTTTCAGTTTCCTCTCATTTTCCCAGTTATTGCAGCTCCAGACTGAGACTGTACCAAAATATTTTACGGCTTCTTGTGAGTGCAATGACACCCTACACCACCTCTCCTGCTTTCTGTGCACACACACACACAGAGCTGGCCTCCATGAGCAACCCATGCCTCTGCTGCCAAAGATCTGACATAAAAAAATTACTCTTACTGTTTCATATATACAAAGTTTAGCACACTTTGATTTCACTTTAAACACATGTCTTGCTTTAGCCGGGTGAAGAATCAACTTAAATGAAAAGTTCAGCACACAAGTTGCTATTCTATTGCTAAACCAGACAAAATAATTTCAATTAAAGCAAGCCAGCCTCTGCCCCTCAGCAGGACATGCACACACCCTCGGACCAGCCCTGCTCGCTGGTCCTTGCACGCTCCCAGCCTCCTTGCACTCCCTGCCCGGAGCTAATTTTGTTCAGATGAATCACTGCACACTGAGGGACACCACTAATTGTTGTAGGCAACCACAGGGTTTTTGAAGTATTTGCTAAATTAAGCAATAATAATTCGATAATATTGTAAATGGCCCACGGGTGCAAAGTACACAGACCAGGACTTTCTGGGGAAGCACCCACAAGCACCGCGATGCAGAGGAGGACAGCAGGGGACATCAAAATGGATGAAGCTTTGGTCTCACCATAGTGTCTGGAGTGGCTTTTCAAGTGAAGGGCTGATAATGTACCCAAAAGCTATAAAGACAAAGAGAATTGGCGCAGGTAAAACAGTCAAATTCACAAGCTGACTGACTCAAACAAGAAGTTATCAACTGCACACAGTAAGCGGTCCCCACATCCCTTGTGCTCTGGGTACCACACTGAATTAAGTAGACTGTTCACATCACCTCTGTTTATTCAAGGAATTAAACTGAGTTACTTAATTGTGACTGCAACTCCAATGGCAGCAAATTCACTAAAATTATAAAACTGCCACTCTGGGCTCTGGTGGGGCATATCCACTTTTGATGGACAGGTGAGAACACAGTTTGTCCTGAAGCCTCGACCATTTTAGCTCAGAATCAAAAAAGAAAAACAAGGGTGAAAACGTGAGGCTGATGTTAAGCAGGGTGCCAGTTTTCAGCGTGTCAGCCCAGGTTTGCCTAGCTGACTAAACTGGAATTTCAAGGGATACATTTAGATACCTAAGTACAAAATCTACTGCCAAAAGCTGTCAATCTTTCTGTCGCAGCTCTACATTCATGCTA